AGTGAGGGCCTGATCCAAGAAGTCACAGAGAAAGGAGGAACTGACGGTGAGGACCCTAGGGCCTCTCTTTCCACACAGGTTTCCCTCTTCTGCAGTCACTTATGTTTCTGGGTGTTTCCATGGACTCAGCCCTCTCCCAGTTGACATCTATTGATCATCTACTTTGCCAGGTAGCATGCCAAGCACTGACTTAGACCATCTCATTTAATCCTCACAAGTACCCTTTAAAGTAGGCACAACTATTGCCATTTTACAGAGGAAGAAACTGAAGCGAAAGTCACTTGCCCAGAAGATGCATCCAGGAAGGAGTGTGGCCAGGCCTAGCACCCAGGTCTTGCTGGCTCCAAGCCTACACTGCACTACCTGTCCTTCACACCCTGTAGCCTGCAGGCCAGAGAGATCAGGAAACTCAGCTCCCTGCTTTGTAGAGGGGGAACTGAATCCCAGAGAGGGATGGAATTTAACCCTGGGCCCAAGGCCCAGAAAAGTAGGCCCACTGAGCACTCCAGTTCCCTGACCCCCAGCCCAAGGACTCTGTCTACTCCCCTCCTCTCCGTGCCTATGAGCCAAGGCTTGGGCCATGCCCCACTCCTGCTCTGAATTCATAGAAACTACCCTGTCTCGGTCTGGGATCAGTTCTTTACGTTTATTCTCCTGAATGAGACTCCTGGATTGGACTGAGTTGAGATTTTATGAAACCCTGAGCAAGGGACTGAGATCAGTGAAGAGGGTCAGAACCTTATTTTATCTTAAGGCATACTGAACTCTAATTTGGTCTAAAAATAAATTCCCATCCAGTGTGAGTACAGTGAGGAGCTTGACTGCCCCTGGGCCTCTCTCCTGTGAGCCCCACTTGGCCAGTTAATAGGGAGGTGAGGAGACCCCCCCGCCCTCACATAACACACTTACACTTTAAAGCTTACCACATGCTTTATCTTTGGGTCAAAGATTTTTTTAAAAGATGACAGATATCTAGTGTCCTTAGTAAACTGTGCTCTGAGCAGCTCTCCATTTTCTCTGCTAAAAGTGAAATAAATGAAAACAGTGCTTAAAAAAATCTATAAATGGGTGAGAGCCAGTTGTCATTTTCCCCTTCCTCCCCTCCCCCCTCCCATAGCTGACTTAATGAGGACCCGAGCTGAGAAGTACTCACTGAAAACAGCTGGCAGCGCCATGCCTTTAAATAGCCCTCTCCACGCTTCCCCTTGGCGGCACGCAGTTTGTCCTGGCAGGGAAAGCCCAGGACACAACAGGAAACTTCAGAACTTTCTGAAAAGGAAAGAGCTCCTTTAAAGCACACCCCCTCTTGCCAGACCTTATCGTGTAAGGAGCTTGTGCTGTTGCAGCCCCTGCCCCTAGAAATTTCCGAGGAAAAACTGAGCTGATGAGATTTGTTTCAGGACCCAGTGTGACTCTGGGCCTGGGGGAAGTGACGGGGGTGGGGCTGGAGACCTCCCCCCAGATCCGATCCCTGCCCCAGCTCAGGCCGCTGCCCAGGGCCAGTTTCATCAGCAGCAGAGACACACTGTTCACTCATTAGGCATCTAGGGAGGCCACAGTGTAGATTAACTGCAGCCCGTTCCTTTAATGTCCTCACCTGTAACTTGGGAAAGGGGGCACCACACTGCCCACCTCGAAAGTGGTGCTGGGGTGGGTCCCCCTCCGCAGTGCACTTCCAGCAGTAAAGCCAATGCAACGGAAGTTGGCCACAGCCTGTCAGTCTCTGAACCACTGAAGAAGGACCCCAGGCTGTCCCCAGCCGCACATCCAACTGCGGGAAAAGAGCAGGTGAAACATACATAAGGAAAGAATGGCAGCCAACTCTTGACCATGTCCCTTCCTACACGTTGTCCCATGCAAGTGTCACATTAGGGTGGGCTTATCGCCCCTGGTCCCATAGGGAAACAAAGCCAGGGCTTCTCTTGCCCTGCCCAGCCTTGCTCGAGGCCTTGGGCCCTTTCTACCTCATCCCAGTTGGCGCTTGTGCACTGAGGACGATTGTGGCATGGTGTGATCAGTGGGTAAGGGCTTTGTCACCATCAGAGAAGGTGACAGTTTGGCCAGCTCAGGGCTGTGTTGGCCAGGAGTGGATGGAGGAGGGTGCTTTATCTTTCTTTCTCACTAATTGACGACATAGTTTGAAATTTGAGAGTGGACTAAGGTTTTCTTCATCAGTACCAATATTGAATTTATCAGCTTTCTGGGGTTGCTCTGTCTCCCACCTTCTTAAACAGCCTGTAATGCTTTAACTGCCTCTTACAAACTGGTGGCCATCATTAGTTACATTAATTAAAGCCATAAACCCTCCCTGAGTGCTTTCTGTGGACAGCGTGCTGAGCTGCACATGGGGGTCACAGAGAGGAGGGATGTGCTCCTGCTTTCCAGGGGCCGGCAGTGTAGCCTGGCAGGTAATCTAGTGACAGGTGCTCTGGAAGAAGCACAAAGAGTGTCACCCGCAGGGAGAGAAACTTCTGGTGGCCCAAGAAGACTTGATGGGAGCAAGGGCATTTGCTGATCCTAAGTAAAGCCCAGAGGTGGGAAATGGCATGTATGAGGAAGGGTAGGTGGTCACATTGGAGGAGGGAGGGGTATGTAGACCCAGGCTTGTTTCTGGGCTCGTCTCCTGACCATGCATGGGCTTGGGGGTCTATGACGTCCCTCGGTTGCATAAAACACATACTGGGCAGGGGGGATCTTACCTGCAGTTTGTCTGGGGAGAGGATCCTTAGCTTTCTTAGCTTCTCAACGGAGTTCTTGATCCCCCAAAAAAATGTGATGGAGGAAAAGGATAAATTTTTTTTTAGAAAATGAGTTGGAGCCAGATACTGAGAGTCATTGAGTGCCAGGCTAAGAATTTGGGGAACACGAAGGTCTTGATCAGGATAGGGACAGACACTGGGGCTCTAAAAGAATCAGTCTATCTGCAACAGAAAGGCAACGCAGGCCTTGTGTCAAGGAGAGGAGCAGCCTTCTGCCGCAGTATTGTTGTAACGAGACTGAGAGCCAGGGTGTGTCACTACGGATGGAGGGATGTCGGGGAGGAGGGGAGAATCTTGAGGATGAATCCACCACAGGGGGTTTAGCGAGAAGTGGAGCCTGGCTAAGAAGAAAACTGAAAGTTCTGTTACAGAAGCACAGATTGGCCAGAGCACGTTCAAGTACTTAACAGTAAAGAAAACGTCGCTTTGGAACACAGTAGTTTGAATTACAGAGAGACATCCAATGTACCACAGGTGGTTGAAAATGTGTGACTTGAAGTTTGGGAGGGAAAGAAGGGCTCGGACTCAGACTGGGGAGTGCTCTGCTGAGGCTGGTGCAAGTCTGGGAGTAACCGTGACCTTGTTCTGAGTGAGGGGAGTGGAGGGCAGGGAGGCACAAGCCCACGGAGAGGTCACACCTGGGAGTGGGCAGGGAGAGGAAGGGGGTTAGGACAGGAAGGGAGGGTCACATCACAGAAGTTACAGGGAAAGAGAGCTTCCAGAGAGAGGAGTCAACATTTAGGTGCTGCAGAGAGGCCTCTGCGGAGGCTAGGACTGAGAAAGAGCTGGAGCATTCAAAGTGGCCAAATTGGAAAGAGAGTTGCAGTTGTCTTGTTGGGGGAGGAGTGTGGTCGGGTGTCATCAGTAACTGCACTTGCTGTGATCTAGAGGTGACCCAGGCCTGTGGAGCTGCATGCGGCTCTTGCCCACACTGCAGGATCCCTGCTGGAGTTGGGATTCCAGAGCAGTTCGCTCTGCTGTTCTCGCTGCAGGTCATGCTGTGCTGCCTCTCACTCCTTCTGCACATCTGCCTCCTGCCTTTAAACAAGCTCCTCCACTCCTGATTTGGTGCTTCTAATCTACTGGGAGCCGGTAGCCTGGAGAGCCAGGCCTGTTAGAACCATGTCCTAAATAAAACAGACTGTGGGAGGCTCCCCTTGGGTGAGATGCATGAGGCCTTTGCAATGCTGATGGTGACAGGTCTTCTTGGTGGCTGTTCCTGGTTCTTGTCACTGTCTGGGAAGGCGAGGTTGCTGGGTGAGCCACTTCTGGATAAGTAATGTGTGACTATGATTGCGTGGGAGGTGGGGGGGCGGGGACTAGAAGGTGAGTCTGGATGACCAGGGGTACGGGTGCCCACCCCCTGCATCCCCAGCTTACAACCAGCTCCTGCTGCATCCTCTGCCCACAATGCCCATTCTACCACTCCCTCCACTGACTGCCCATTCCGGTGCCCACAGTACCTCCAGAGATGCCCTGTCACTTAATTTGCCATTACTTATGTGTCTTCCTCCTCAAGAGGTGCCACATCTGGGTCATCTCACCACACCTGGCACCTCACGCAGCAGCATCTTGGTACTGAGTGGGCCCAGCACATGCACATCTCCCGATGTAGAATGTGTCCCTGCTTTTTCAGATTAGAAACCTGGGTACCAGAAAGGTCAAATGGTCTGCCCCAGATCCCACCACTCGTCTTCTATTGACTGGGGAAAGTTCTGTTAATCCCCAGCCTGGCTTTCTTTCCAATTGACCAGACAGCATATGTGTTTGGAAATAAATGGAGACTGTGGATCATTTAGAAATTCTTTTTATTAGACCCCCTCTGTCTGTATGAAGTCAAAGTTCCAACAGAGTGAAAAATACAATCCTCCTGATATTTCAGATCGTTAAACAACTAGGTGGTTAAATTGGTCACTCTCTGTCCTGTAGCTTGGATCAGATCGTTGTCTTTGTCCTGGAAAAGGGCAACGGGACCTGAGGACTAATGTCTAATAGGATTGGCAGCCAGGAAGTTCTGCGTATAGTTCCTGAAATATCCGTGAGAGATATCGCAGTAGTGAACTGCATGTACCTCCCTTGGAAAAATCCAGAGGGCTTTGCATTAGCAAAGAAGGAAAATCTGACCCAAGATGCATGAACAATAAATAACAACTGTTCTGAGTTAGGCTGAAAGCTCCGAGTTGCACTTTTTCAAGCCGTTTGTGCTAACCACAATTTTTTTCTCCCCCTCTTTCCCACCAGGGCTTATTTCAAAACCTTTGTCCCTCAGTTCCAGGAGGCAGCGTTTGCCAATGGAAAGCTCTAGGAAACACCAGTGTTGAGAGGGGGCCAGCCAGACTGCTCGGTCCACATGCGTGTCAGCACACACGGCGCTTCCTGGAATGCCCTCATGGCAGCGTCCTGCTCACACAGCAGCCTAGCGTGCCCCAGACAGCCCCAGCTCTGCTGGGACCCAAACTCAAGCTGGCCAGTGGAACCTGAAGCCTGGAGCCCCTCACTTCTGGTTGCTCCCTCTTTCCTTCCTTCATTAGATTTCTTTGTTGGAAGAAATAAACTCACAAATCATGATGCAGTAATTTTCCAAGGAAAGTAAGACGTCATAAATGCACACACCCTTCTTCCAAAGCCTTTGTCTCAGACTTCTTTTAAGTTTTAAGATTAAACACCACTTGGGTTTTTGTTTTCCCTGAAGCTAGTGTCTCACCTCTGTGTGTGTGTGTGTGTGTGTGTGTGTGTGTGTGTGTGTGTGTGTGTGTGTGTGTTGTACACCCAGCATTTCCCATTTGGGGCAGTCTTCTATTGGGAAAGGAAGCCCTTGAAAGGATCTGACCAACCTGCAGGGTTTCAGCCACCCAACAAGCCAGGCCCAAGGCTGGTGCTCAGGAACAAGTGGGCTCTGGCACCCCCTCTCCACCCCTACTGCTCCAGCTCTGTGTGGGCACCGCGTGCCCAGCCCAGCCTGACACAGTAGGCAGTCATTAAAGTCTGCCGAATGCACCAGTGACTCCGTCCTTCCCTCTGTCCCCGTGCCGCTCCCTAGGCTGATGGGAGAGCTCTTTGGGCTTGTGCAACACTGTGCACATTATCCTCCAAAGGCTGTGTGTCATAAATATCTGTCACTGGCATGTATCTGATATCCAGGCTCAGGCCTGGCAGCCCTGCAGCCAGCCAGGAACAGAGTAGGGAAGATTCTCTGAACAAGGTCTGTTTTTCCTAGACTTTCAGATGATCAGAGCCAGAGGGCCTCAGAAGTCATCTCATTTCTTGTTCCCTGCTGCTCCCTTCAGTGTACCAAAGAGAAGCTAGGCCCGAGAGCTAAAGAAATGCTCACAGCAAATTAGGAGCCAGTCTGGGAACTGGGAGCCTGGCCTCTCCATACCATCATGCAGCCTCCCTTCGCTCACATGCAAGCTGACTGCAGTCACCTTGACCGCTTACAAGGCTTATAGTTTGGTGTAACAGAATTCTAGCCCCAAATCTTCCAGCACAGGACAGTAGGGCCCCTGCTCCAAGTGAAGCCACCGGCCCAGCCTGCAGGGCACGCGCAAGGTTCATCTGGGCCTCTCCTTGTCCCCTCAGTTCCCGTGTGTCTCTTGGAGCCCAGTTTTACTGTGTGAGCCTGAAAAGGAACCAGCTCTGGGTCTTTGTGGGGACCAGAATGAGGTACATCTTCCCGTATTCTCCAGCATCGAGGAATGTTCTCAGGAGGCTGGAGAACAGCTTGAATAGACCTCCCTGCTTGGCTACCAGCTAGAGAGCTGCCCAGCTCTGGATTCTTTCCCTGTGTAGATACTTTGCTCCCCACCCTGAATCCTTGGGAATTCCCAGGATGGAGAATAGTCTGGTGTCCTGTGTCTGCATCCCAGCCCTGCTGTGAACCAGCTGTGTGACCTTGAGTAAGTTCCTTCCTCTCTGTAACACCAGGAGTGGGGAGGGCTGGATTGTGGACTCAGCTCATCATTATCACCCTGGGAGCTTTTTAAAGGAACTACTGCTCTGGTCCCCACTGTAGGCTTGTTGAGTCAGAATCTCACTAGCTGGAGCGTGGGCATCTGGATTTTGATAAAACTCCCCAGGTGATTCAGTTGAGCAAGTGATCATGACCCACTAAGCCAGCCACATTGGAGTCTCCTCTGACCCTGCCCAGCTGACTGCCCACAGGAAGGCGCCCTATACTCAGGGTGACTGTGTGCCAAGCTCTGTCCTCTTCCCTGGTCCTCCTCTAAGGCTGCATGGCACTGTCACTTAGGATTGCTGTGGACACCTTCCCCATGGAGGTGCATGGGTTAGGCTCTGCTGCCCATAGAGCGAAGAGTTGACTGAGCAGGGCTTGCTTCAGACCCGACAGGGGTTTCCAGCTCCAGTTCTAGCAGAAGGTGATTGTATTGTGGGATGGGGAGGTCATGGGACTGGACACTTAGCATTTCAAAGAGCCATTCAGCAGTGACAGCAGCCAGTAGCAGGCGGCATGAGCTGGAAATGTTATCTTCCTGCTCCTGCCAACCTCTATCACAGCAGACTTGTGATATAAGCGAGAGAATAGGGTCACCCCTGCTCCTCAGATGAGAAAACAGGATCAGAGAGGTTGAGTCACCCACAACCACCAACTAGTCAGTGCCTGAGTTAGGACTCAACCCAGGCCCCTGGCTCTGGATCCGGTGCTACTTCTCGTGCACATCCACAACTCTGGGAAACAAACTGAAACCAGCCAGAGTACTTTTAACTGTTCATGGAAAGATGTGCATCTTTTCATTCTATTTTTCCATGAGCTTTTTGAAGTACCTTTGTCTCTTTCTTTCCCAGTGAAGGATGAAGGACTGTATATAGGTTTGTGGGGATGGAGATTATATAAATTTTTAAAAAGACTTTCAACTCCTTTACCACACGGGGAGGGTCTGAACTGATTTTCTTAAGGGGAGCTAAACAACACAAAGTGACAATTGCCACTTCATATTTCAGATGTTGGGTATTTAAACACCAGGGTTTGTGTGATTTTATCTCTACCCCCAACAACAACAGAGGCAGGTAGCACTGTAAATGGACAAAGGTCACCTCTATGTTTATAAACACTTCTTGCTAGTTCAGCCCATCACCCAGCATTGTACCTGCACACAGAGTACAGCCCAGGACTAATTAGTAAATGGCTATAAAATGCTTTGAAGATGAAAAGTGCTGTATAGGAGAGCACATTATTATTACCTCATAAATCCTGTCTCCAGCTTACTCAGCCCTTATAATTTAAGTTGAATCTTTAGCTTGGCATAGACAAGGAAATGACAAAGGAAAACTCAGATATTTGTACTAGTAATACTTGGATGTGATTCGGCATCTCCTGGTGGGGAGGGACAAGAGAACCTGGGTAGCCAGTGTCCAACCATCTTCCAGCAGCGGGATTCCCGAGGACCCACCGCCTCCAGCCAGATGGCACTGTCTTACACAGAGCCCATTTTCCTCTGGGGAAGTGAACTGGATAGAGGATGAGCTTAGGAAGAAGAGAGACATATTTGAATCCTGGCTCTGCCCACTTAGTAGCTGGTAAATATTTAACAACTAGATCTCCTGTGATTAAAAAAAAGAGGGAAAAGAGGGGACCCTGATTTGTAGTGTTTGCCAATGTCCATGGTGTAAATACCTCCACCATGACCAATTACAAGCCACCAACATGAGGTCACTGAATGCGGAGTTGGTAGAAGCAGAGAGGGTCATTTTGTTGGGGTCTCGAAGCCAGCTCCAGTGTGTGTCTTTACTTAATCTGAATTTTGTTATCCTCACCTGTGAAATGGGAATAAATTCCTGCATCCCAGAGTAGAAAGAATTAAGTAAGAAAAGTACATATGCGCCCAGTACGGAGCTTGGCCACAGTAACATTTGATAAATAGTGGCTATTATTATTGCAGGCCAGAAAAAGGATTTTCTGATGTTGACCTTAGCTTTTTTTCTAAAAAGGCAAAATGCCCCTGTTAAAAAGTCCTGCCAATGAATGTGGCCTTTGGAAAAGTGACCCTGTCTGGATTACCAGGAAGACAGAACGATGAGTCATCTTGAATTTTAACGAATGAGAGATGAGATGTAGTTGTGGGAGTTCCCCACCCCCACCCCATGCTGGTCTTGGGCAGCCCTGCAGAGCGAAACCCCCAGCGACCTGCTTATTCACCCAGGCCCCTGCTTTCCCACAGGCGAGGAAATCAGAGCGGCACAGGTCACTGTTGCCTCTGACTCAGTTTCGGTTCCTGACAGCTACTGACTCTCGCGTCGGAGTCCCAGCCGTGCTGGAGCAATGACCACACTTGGGGCACCTCTTGCTTGGGCCTGTGAATAGAGCTGGCCCCTGAGCTTGCCCCAGTTCATGGGGATGGGCCTGTCCCACAGTTCCTCTTGAGGCGAATGTTAGGAACTTCATCTAATGGTAAGATGACATCTAATTTTGCTAGTAGCAATGAGTTCACTGGTGCTTTTAAAAACGAGAACAAGAAGCATGACATGTTTCTGCTCTGTGGTGCTGTGTGCCAGCAGAGCGAAAGTTAGGAGAGACCAGAGCCTGCTAGAAATAGGGTGCTGGTGGCTACACGTCTTTTTTAATCCTTACAACAACTAAATGAGGTGTTACTATCCGCATTTTATTGATCAGAGCACTGAGTCTCAAAGAGGTTAAATAACTTACTGAAGGACAGGAAGCCAGTATATTTATTCATTCACCTGTTCCACTTTCTCTCCCCTTCCCTCTTCTTCCCCTTCTTCCCTCCCTCCCCCTGCTCTCCCTTTTTGAAAGAGTAAAAAGCACAGTGTTTTTCTATACTCTTATTCAGCAACAATCATCAACACAGAAGACACACTTCTGTGACCAAATGTGGGAGGATTTCTCCCCACCAGCCAGGAAGCCATCGGTTCTGCCACAGACAGCAGCTGGGTGTCCTCTGATTCAATTCAGTTCCGACACTATCTACCTGAAAATAGCGTCAGATCCACAGGTTGAGGGCTCAGTCCCCTAGACTGTCTCTTCACTTCTGATGCCAGTCGTAAGCTACAGGTTGTTTAATCTGTGCTTCTGACTGACTGGCTATAAATCAGGGTCCCCACAAACCCTTCCCTGCGTTCCACTGATTGAGCTGAGTGGCTCATGGAATCCGAGGAAACACGTTTACCCATTTATTACGAAGAACATTACAAAGGATACAGATGAGATGCACAGCGTCCATGCCCCTCCCCAGGAACCTCCATGTGCTCAGCTGTCCAGAAGCTTTCTGAACCCAGTTCTTTTGGGTTTTTATGGAGGCTTCATTACATAGTCATGATCGGTTAAATCATCCGTCAATGGTGATCAACTTACCTTCAGCCCCTCTCTCCTCCCTGGATGTTGGTAGGTAGGAGGTGGGACTGAAGGTTGCAACCCTCTGATCACAAAGTTGGTTCCCCTGACAACCAGACCCCACCCAGGAGCCACCTAGGGGGCTGCCAGCCATCAGTCAACTCATTAGCATACAAAAAGATACATCACTTTGGAGATTCTAAGGATTTTATTTGTTCTGAGGCATGGATGGGATGAAGACCAAGATATACTGTATTTCAAAATATCACACTTTTTATATATTTTTACACAAAAAAGTGAACTGGGTGCCTCTGTTTCTTTCCACTTCAGTTATCCAGTTTCCCCAAATGTGAGATTTATTGAACATCTACTGTGTACAAGCCCC